CATAAATTCCAAGTGCCTGTCAGGTATGTTTGCGGAAATGCCACTTACTCAGTCTTCCTTAATATTACGTCCTCTGTTATATTTCCGCATCCGTACTACTGTTTCATCAATTTCTACAATATTCCCAACTCCTCCGTACGACTCGTGTAAGCGCGTCATTTTATTTGCACACATGTCCTGGCAATACTCACACCGTTGCGCAGCTGAAGTTTCGGTAACGTCTGCAAATGCTGCAGCCCATGTTACTGGCGCTTTCACCATCCAATCTCCGACATTATCATGATTTGTCTCAGTCTTAATCGCGATCGAAAGAAGAAAGTGTCGTTCACGCAGACTTCTTTCTCCAACATACAGAACATCGAAAGACAGTATCGCCACGATGGTCTGAACATGGTACTACAGTCACTTGATTACCTAAGTCACAAATATAGGAACTTCTTAGTAGTCTCATATGTTGAAGTTACTCAGTAATCACCTCTTCTCTAAAATCCGCTGTGAACCGATCGTACATGAGCATCAGGTACTGAAGTCGGTGCCATGGCCTTGAAATCCTTCGAAAGCTTCCGACTGGCTCGTCTATAAATTAGAGTCTCGCCTTACTTTTTATTTCATGTTTTGAGAAGCTACCGGACTCTGTACATCTTCATAGACTCAAAGAACTTCCAGTTTCGGCACTGCTGGTCATTGTTCCATCGTTTTGTAATTCCGCTCATTTGGGTCTCCTACCTTCTGTGGGATTTAATTTGCCATATATATTCTTTAGGAACTGTAAACACCTTACTGATGATCTATAGTCTATGTAAAAGTTATGGTCAGAACAAATGCAACTTTTATTTAAACTTCATCCGTTTCTAAATGTAAAAACAGTCCGATTACTACAATAACTACAGGAATTGTAGTCATTGAGTAAAACGCACAAACCTACCGACTAGTACTACATGCCTTTCGCAAAATGATTAGTAGAAAATATGAGTCGCAGCCACACGAATATCGTAGGATAATGAGGTCTCTCAGTTGGCAGGTCACAGGCAATAGGAATGGTCTACAGACACATCAAATCAGTTTGGAGTGGTGGGCGTTAAACCAGAAACTTGATCGGTTTTGGACATTATCAACACCTTCACCGTGACTGAATACGAATACATTAGCTAACAGCGTTGAAAAAATGAGAGTTAGAAATACAATAATAGCCCATTAACTGTATTGCTGTAGGTTAAAATACATCTTGAATTGCTGGCAACTTTGTTTATTATTCTGGTACTGACGAGTATTTGTCAACTTCGAAGTTAGATAATCCGTTTCCATAACCATTTCGCCAGCTTGTTTTGTCTCAAAAATGTGCCGGTTATTAATTAGTCTTCTGACTCCATGATCAGGTTCATTAGAGCTACGGTAGCCGAGCTATTTGTACACTCAAAGATTGGTGTAGTCCAAGCAATAGCCCCTTTATGTATTTCACCTTGGCCTTAATAGATGTTTTTCATTGCATCGGGGGAAAAATAACCATCACATTTCCGAATTTCAGTGGTACATCTCCCTAGGTTTCTTTGTTGAAGATTAGATGTAAAAGGTTTTGGGAATCCTGTTACACTATTGTGTCAAAGAAGATTTCATAGTATTCTCTTATCTACGCTGTCAAATGCTTTCTGGTAATCGAAGTGGTTGTTGTATAGCAATGACTTCTATTTAATTGATTGTCCAACGCTGATCCGTAGTGTCACCATTCAGTCTGTGCACGACCAATCCTTACGGAACGCAAATTATTGATTTCGAAGATGAGCTTTAACTGAAACACTATTGAACACTTTTTCTCGTAGTGATAGTATCGTAATGTCTCTGTATTTCTCACACTTGTTGAGATCCACTTTATTTGTTATTGGTGGAGTGACATATATAGGAAGGTCTGTGTGCGCTGCTTTGATGTCCAGTGGGTTAAATGGGACTGGTCTATTCAAAAGTTATTCAAAGTGTTCCATCCAATCGTTCCTCCGCTCTTGAATCTCAGTGATTTTCTTTCCTTCTTTGCACTTGATCAGTTTTGCTGGTTTACCGTATTTCCCTGGTAGTTCCTTCGTCGTGCCATATGGTTGCTTCATATTTCCTTCTCTTGCAGCTTTTTCCTTTGTCTTTGCTAGCTCTTCTATGTGTTTCTGCTTGTCGGCTTTAATGCTCTTCTTCAATTGTTTGTTCGCTCGTATGTGTTCAGTTTGTGCCTTTACTTTCTCTACCCTTGTTCGACCATTGTTAACTGCTGTCTCCTTTTTCTCTCTTTCTTGAACCTCGAGCAGGGCTTCGATAATGATCCACTCCTATTGATGGTGCTTGTTGAGGGCCAGCGCCTTCTGACACGCTGAAATTAGTGCTTCTCCTGCCCCTTTCCAGTTGTCCTCCATAGTAGTTTCTTCTTTTGGTGGATCTCGTAGGGTTTGGAACCTGATGACAATTATCTCGAATTCTTCGAGTTTGTCATTATGTCGAAGGAACACTGTACTGAGCCTTTGTAAACCTGTTTTCCCAGCTGTCCAGTGTTTCTTTACCTTCAGTCTCATTTTGGAAACCATCAAATGGTAATCTGAAGCCAATATCAGCTCCTCTCCTGATTCTCACTTCTTCCAGTGACCCTCTGAACATTTAGTAATGCAAATGTAATCGGTCTGATTCTCCGTGGTGTGATCCGTGTAGCTTTGTTTATATGTTTGTTGGAGAATATAACGGCGCCTATAACCATTTTGTTGAATGTACATATATTTACAAATCTCTCGCCATTTTCCTTCCTTTCTCTCAGTTCATGTCGTTTCATGAGATTTTAATACTCAGAATAATTCATCCCGACTTCGGTGTTTAGGTCTCTCACCAGCATTGTCGGGTTCTTGCCTGGGCATTTAGCCACGGTTGGTCGCAGCTTACCGTTACTTGGATTAGCAACATATTAATTGCACCTCTGAAGTTCCTGATATAAAAAAGTCCAAATTGTAGCTTTCCAATAATAAATCATTGTGCTCTCCTAAAAGATAAGTTGGAAGATAAATCCATCCAAATATTAGTTATGGTGTGTTTGAATTTCGAAGTTTGATTAAGTATAGACAGTTAGATCGTCAAAAATTAAAACTTGATAGATTTATGTTGTGACTTTAAACTTGGGTGGATTTTTACCCCGTGCCAATTGTTGCGTCCTTTACTGAAAGATTAGAGAGCAGCGTATTATAGATCAAATCAGTGACACGTAAAAACACGCACGAACGACCTAGAGCTCCGATTGGTCCCGCCTCTCTGTCTAGCCCAGCCAGTTTAGTCCAGAACACAAGTCACAGCCTCTGAGATATGAATCGTTATACTTCAAACACACTCTGCTTATATACCAATCAAGCATACCACATCGTACCATAAAATAGAAAACAACATTTTGTACAATATTTGACAAGTGAACAAATATCGACCAATAGGAAATGTCCGTTTAAAGTCCAAGGACACCATTGGACTTAACATCATAATTATTGGTATATTCCTCTGCATCCCTAACAGTTTAAGTGGCTGATGATAATGATTCAACTTGCTGATGCTTAGTATATTTTATTCTAGCAAGGTTGTGTGACTTTCTAGTGATCCCACGTAATGTAAGGTTGAAAATCACCTGATCATCAGAAGACAATACTAAAAAACCGAAATGACATAAGTAAACCACAAAGACTACATGACTACTACATGGAACAGTAACCTACCCTGTTATGATACATCAAAGCTGACCAACAAACAAGGGAAGGACTTGACATAAACGCCATAGCCTTCCAAGTAAACTTAGTGACTCTCAGCTACTAAATGGGTCTAGTAAAAACTTCACTCCATGAAACGTTTTTCGGTTGACTTCTACACAACAACAAAAGGTGTTGCTGAAAAGATATCCTGTCAGATATGTCCAATTTAAAAGCAGAATCGGTTCAAAAACCTAAGAAACTGTTTATAATCTATATACATACCGTCAAAATATCACGTTAGTAAATGCACACAACTCAGACCACTGTAAAAATCTCCAAGCGAGAGCGAGTTGTCTTCATATATTCACGATCATTGGAGGACCTGTGTATCAGAGGGGTTTTATTACCTTCAGGTCTAAACAGTTAAAAATACAAAGCCTAACACCGAGGCGTACGTAAACCAAGCACACTGGAAAACCAAACACGCGACCAACAAACGTAAGGACTAATGCTATCCAAATGACAACTGATCTAATGCCAGAAAAACAGACTCAAAATCTAACATCACTGTCCGGTGCTGAGCTCTAAATAATGCTTATTTTATCATAATATGGCCAAATATTCAAATCACTCAGCTGATCTTCATAACCTATGAAATTTACAAAACATAGAACACTGTATAACTTCCACTGAAAAATTATGTGGGATAAATAAGTAAAACCCTAAGTGAAATAGTTTTGGGCTTTATTAACAAATCTCACTACCTACGACATTAAAAGTTCGAACTACCCCTTACATGATTGAAAAAGATTGAAAGTGATTTTGTCACAACCTCAAGCTATATATTCAATAACCTCGAAAACATCTTAACTCAGTCTAAAATCACAGTGACCTGTATCTATCAAAAAGTATTTTTGTAGAATCTTGTGGTTGAAGGCATATGAAGCTCACTGTGGATCTATATGCACTCAGTTACAATGATTGAAATAACATTCGACTTATACCAGTGAATCCAGCTCTAGCTGGTTCCAAATCCACTGAAATTGTTTCTAGTACTGATATCGGAAAAACGAACCAAAATATGTCTATAAAATCCATCAATGCTATTGCTGCGAATAGCCATTTATCTTGAACTTGATGGTGATCTACACTTTTGTCATCTTTCAAAATCGAGTACTAAAATACCTTACTCCATCTTTTCGACCCTCTGCTATGAAACTTGAGCTAAATCTGTCTTCACTTGTATTCCCACAGTATAGTTACGCCTGTGAAACACAAGAGACACCCTACACATTTCATTTCATTATTCGGGTTTGTTTGAATAATCAGAGCAGGTTGGCGGTACAGTGAACGGGCCCCTTTCCTCGTGGGTTAACGATTTTTGATATTTGAGCGATGGTTCACGGCAACGATGTTCTACATCACAACCACTTCAGAAAAAAATGGCAATTTATGGTGAGAACATGGTTCAACCAACCAGCACGCAAAGAACGCAGACGACAGGCTAGAAAAGCTAAAGCTCAACGAATCGCACCGAGGCCAGCTTCTGGTCCACTTCGACCCATCGTGAACTGTCCTACATTCCGTTATAATATGAAAGTAAGATCAGGGCGTGGATTTTCATTACAAGAAGTGCGCGCAGCCGGTCTGAACCCAAAATTTGCCCGCACTATTGGGATAGCCGTTGATCACCGTCGACGAAACGTTTCTGTCGAAGGATTACAAAGGAATGTTGCCAGGCTTAAAGCATACAAAGCTAAACTCATATTGTTCCCTCTAAATCCAGCGAAGCCTCAAGCCATGGATGCAAAGGTTTGTTTACTTGATTTTGTCCTATTTTAGTTCCGTAACTAAAGTGCTTGTGACTTAATATTTATGCAGTTGTTTTATAGTCATGTAAATCCAACTTGAGCACATTAAAGATCTGGGATCTAAAGTGTGTCATTGCCCTCCATCTGCCACTCTGTCCGTTGATCTTTTGTACTCAACAATAAACTAGTCATCCATCGTTAGCGTCAAAGAAGCAACCAATAACAACCATATTCCCTTTAGGTATGATCCTCTGGTTACTAGTAAATGTTCACCAAGTGTGGATATTGCATTTGGATTTCTACACCAAATAATTCTTGCCGTTTTTAAAGAGCTAGTGTCAATGACCTTTTGTCAGTTCTTGTAATTTTGTTCTCTTGTGACTACCGTTAGACTTTTTATGATGAAAAAATAGTAGTGGTTGTGTTTATCGGCTATTTACGATAAGTTTTAGTAACCATCGATTCAGTCTGATATTTTGAACTTGTGGTTCATTATATAACCAAAGGTTCCAAGTCGGGAATTTAGTTTTGTACTTGTCATTAGAACCACATACCTTAAGGCAGTTGTGAGTTGTGTTTCCCACACAGTATTTAGACATCTATATTTTGTTAGTCATTGCGATGCCTATTTATTCATGATGATTTGAGCTCCGCACAGTAGTAACAAAAGTCATTTCAAATAACTGCCAGTCTACTGTATCACTCACCTTTTGTTACCATAGTAATGAGGTCCTCACTATAGGTTTGCCATATCTTGGTTTTCTTTATAAAATACGGTATAAGGAGTGGCGTTATGATGACTTACTGTGATAAGCCTCTTGTGTCGTTTTGCTAGTCGCGCTACTTAAACTAATGACATCAAAGTTGTCTAATAAGTGTTGACTCATGTACATGTTGGAATACCTCATAACCCTGGTTTGTGTCTATATAACAATGTATTTTGGTCTCATTTCTTATATTTCTGTTTCAGGCTGACGATATCAAGAAGGCCACACAGCTCCGCCGACCGGTGCTCCCTATAACTCAAAGAACAAAACGTTTGAAGGCTCATGAACCAACATCGTCTGAACTAAGGTACAGCGCTTTCCATGCCATTCGTCAACATAGAGCTAACGCTCGGCTCTACGGAAAACGTCTGAAGGCACGTCGAGCAGCTGCAGCAGAATAATTGTCCTTAAATAAATTATAGTTGGGTCACTTCTGTTTTCATTACCGACTTATTAGTAGTAGAGGTATTAAAACTTACAGTTGCGTTTGGGAAATCCTGAATAAGTGTAGTACTAACGTCACGAGTAATACATTTTCGTTTTATATTTTGTCTTCTTGGCTCTAGTATGTCGCCTTGCTAATGTTCTCGCGTTCCTTACCGTAATTTCAACCTAAAATAAATAAGTTTAAATCGCCCCTCAATCTAGTATACCAAGTCTCAGTTACCTGTAGAGTCAATTAAAGTTATGGACATGTCATTGAATATAGCATGCTTATAATATGTCAGAAAAACGTTGGCTCCCTATTAGTTTTCTGCCCTTTGAGAAGTGGTTAGATTCATTTTATTCTTGCTTACTATATTTCTACTGAGGTAGATAGTAGTGGTTCCCTTACATTATCTTACGTCTATATTATAGTGGGGTGAAACAGTTATGCTTCATGGTTAGCAGCCCTGCCGTAAATGAGTCAGACGAATGATTTCACAAACCCGTCGAGATGATGTATTAATTTCCACTTGGCAGTTGTACTACCCCAGACTTCACTTATTTCATGAAGCTGATCAGATCGTTTGTACTCTCAATGAGCTCTTTACTTTGTGGTGTTGTCCTACCCTGCAATTCACTCATCCAAAATTATTTCATTACTATGTATCGGTTTCCTCTCAAACTATAACTTGTCATGAGTTCGTCAGTATTCGTAACATTGCCATCAGTTCACTATCTGAGCGGACATCGTTATTACGTTCCCTAATGATGTACGTATGTTAAAGACCTGATTCTCCAAAAGTATTTGTTTCAAACTTCGTCTCGTACGTATATAAGCTAACATTTCAGTTCTAAATGGATTGATGCAAGCAATCTATATGTGCTGTTACACTCTAATAGGAAACCGATCGTGATTTACAACCATTGATTCAGTCAATTTTAAATGAATTCCTACGCATAAGTATTTGGTTTCTGTAATTCTCCATAGGCATACATCATTTTGTTCATATCAACAGCATGTAAAATACCAGCAATTTTACATGAACTGCGAAACCCATTACCTACAGTTGTGAAACAAGCTATATTCGCTAGATTACTAAATTGCAACTCAAGTCATGATGCTTTTATAATTTTTAGATTCATAAGTAATGTAATATGTAGAATAAGGGAATTGAAACCTTAAGTTTATCTGATCACCTTTTAGGAACAAATGCATCTAACCACTCATGTTGGCATAAAAGGAAATGACTTAACAAACGGGAAAACAACTGGGAAATTCTAATGCGACACAGAGCAACAACTCACCAACCAAATAGTGTTATAATTGCTGTCGACTTTATGTTTTTTTCACTGTTGTTTTTATTATAATAAGCTCACTTTTTTCTATTTACCTTATTAACCTTTCATTACAGTTTTAATTTTCGTGAATCCATCTTCCTCTCCTGTAAATCTCATTTTAGCAAGCTTTCAATAAATAACGTTAAATGTTTTGTTAACACATTTAACATAAAATAATAACGCTTTATCCTTAATATATTTTATTTATAGACAGTGACTAATAACAAGAGTAGTTCAAAACATTTAGAGTAGCTAAAGTAATTATATTTGAGGCTAAATATAATTCCGGCGTGAATATATATACTACGGGGAATTTTCAAGCTCTTATATATGACTTGTATCATTTGCTATATGAGGGTCTAGCTGGGTGAAATCTAAGACGAAAAATCATTCACATCACTTAATTGAATCAGTCTTCAGTAGTAAGGAACGAAGGTCAAGCAGATTATACTGATCCTTGCATTTTGTAGTAATGTCAATATTCAAACTCACTTTGAATGTATCGACCGAAAATGCTGGTATTTTGCGTGTTGGCAGAAAAATCCAGTAATTCTCTTATCGGTGCAAGAAACGGAACTCCAAATATGAAAGGTTCGATCTCGACTTTTAGACTTTCTTGAAGTCCTGTCTCAGATAACCAGTCCTAGATGAAAGAAAAAGCCAAGACATATTAACACTGCAATTGTCATTCAGAATGCAGCAATCAAGCGAGGTTATGGTTCAGATTTGTGTAGTAAGGACAGAAGGTCTACGGCCTATGTTACTCCTTTTCCAGTGTCCTTCTGTGAGTGTCCAGTCTCTTCTTGAAAGAGTCAATTGAAGGTACGGACACCACTGCTTCGGGCAGCAGGTTCCAAGTATTGATGACTCGGTGTGAAAACCTGTATGCCACGGGTATTTTGTTCGTTCTTGGCTTTTCTACTCGTCTGCTATGTCCTCTGATATTTCCCGATCTAGTGGAAAGAAAAAGGGAGAATAAGTTGAGTCCAATATCATTTCTCCGTATTCTGTACATCAAAATTAGATCTCCCCTTAATCTGCGATAGGGCAGAGTAAAGAGGTCCAGCTTTTCAAGCCGCTCTTTGTATGGTAAGCCCCGGAGTTTTGGAAGTGCACAGGTAGCTACCCTCTGTACTTTTTCTAGGATATCCAAGTCACCTTTTAGACGGGCTTGCAGCCTGAACGCAGTTCTCAAGCTTAATTCTCACTAAGGATGTGTATACTGTGGTGAATATGGTAGTATCTAACTTAGTGAATGTCCCTTTTAAAGCTCAGAGGGTTCGAAACTTCTTATCCGTGACCTCCCGGCAACGGGCCGTCGTCTTAAGATCATGACTCACTGTCACCCTTAGATCCTTATGAGACCGGACCACGGGTAATGGCACTTCCCCTATGTTGTACCTATTAACCTTTGAATCCCAAAAGTGCATGTAGACACACTTTTCCGCGTTGATAGGCATCAGCTACTCATAAGACCAGTTAATCATATTATTTGAGCCTACCTGAAGAGCACAGGCATCTGTGTCTCCAGTTATTACTCGCTAGATCTTTACGTCGTCAGCGTATAATAACATTGGAGACTGTACTATACTTGGAAGATCATTAACATACATTATAAAAAATAAAGGACCTAGGACGGAACCTTGAGGTACCCCACTAGGTACTGGCCTCCAGACGGGGCACTTGAAATTTATTCTTACTTTCTGTCTACGACCTACTAGAAAATCCTCAATCCATTTTAAAGGAGGTCCGGCAATACCAAGGTTTTCCAACTTCAATAATAGCCTGTTAGTTGGCACCTTGTCAAAAGCCTTACTGAATTCTATATAGACAACATCCACTGAGTTTCCGTTATCAAGCACCTTCATCCAAAACTCCTTTGCTATAAGGAAGTTCTTTGTACAAGATAGACCCTTTCTAAAACCATTTTATTCTATGTTTAGCAAGTTATTGGATTCCATAAATGCCATTATGGTCCGTTTAACTATTCTTTCCAATATTTTAACTACAACACTAGTGAGGCTTACAGGTCTGCAGTTCGATGGAACTTGTCTTGGTCCTGTTTTATGTATGGGAGTGACGATTGCGTCCTTCCAGTCCATAGGTAACACACCTTGGTCAAGTGACGTATTGAATATCACAGTCAGCGGGACCGCGATATATTGTGTAATGTCTCAAGAGTTTGGGGTGTAGTTCATCTGGTCCTGTTGACTTTTCCATGTTTAGGGTTCTGAGAGCCTTAAGCATATCGTCTTGATCGAAGTCCACGGTGAGCAGGTGGTTTGTTGACTCGTTATTTTGGTCTGGTTCCTTGTCTAGAGGAAGTTACTGAGTGAAAACTGCCCCAAAACAGTCAGCCATAGCCTCTGCTTTTTCCTGATCTTCCTCTATCATTTCAGATCCACTCCCTTCTTTAATTAGTTTGGGAATTCAATGATGCATCCTTGGGCTGTTTGAGTGCAGATTGTGTCAACTGCATCTCATATTTTCTTTGAGCTTCCTGAATTTTTGTTATACACTTGTTTCTTACCGATCTGTAGCGTTCCATCGTACCTGCTGTGCTAGGGCGGATGGCGACATCCCAACATTTCTTCTTTTGTGCTAGTGAACGTCGAATATCCCAACCTATCCAGGGATGGCCGTGCTTCTTCTTCTTCTTTGGAACTGTCCAGGGTATGTATAGTTGAGTTACCCGATTGTACAACTGCCTGAAAAGAGTCCATGCCTCTTGTTCTGATGTCCTCGAGTCAATTTCCCAGTTTTCAGCCGATGCTGCGGAGTCGATTTCCGCCATATCTGCCTTCCATATTTTAGAACGGGCCGGCACAACTGTTTGACAGGCAACGTCAGCCATGAATTTGAATAAAATGACTGCACGGTCACTTCGCCCTAGTGGTGGGAGGAAAGTTGGAGGTAGTCTACAGGAAACCTAGATTTTATGTTGTTCGGCTCTCGTCAGTAGGATTTACCTGTAATCTCTTGGGGTCTGGTGTCCCCTTATAGATGTGATCTCATCTCATCCAGCTTCACAGTCAGAGATGTCACCACTGAAGTACTCGAGACATGACTGTCCTCCTACATTAAGAAGGATCTGACACATATGGCATTGGTCACTTCTCAGTAATAAATCAGTTATAAATACATCTCAATTCTACAGGAGGTCCAATAAAGTTTAAACTTGTATTTTTTGGAGAAAATGATAAATTTTTGGTGGACCTTAGGAAGGTAATTAGAAAATTGTGAGAATTCTCAACATTCGTTTTTTTAAATACAACTGGAAATAAAGGATTTGATCCTATCTAGATATTTTAGCGAGTTTTTCCTACACTTCGTTATTAATAACGAAGTTGTTCCACTAGAAATATTGATCACAAAGTAATATTAAAACTCCACTATGTATTACATCAAACATCTAAAGTGCTTCTAGCTCACCCTTTCTTTGGGTTGCCATCCACGCTTATGTACTTTATCTCTTGCGTCATTCAAGAAAGCCTGGCTTAAAACAGACATGTACATTGTGTGAAAGCTTGGGGTTTCATTAATAAAAATAAGCCCACTTCCCCAAATCGTTATAAGATTCGGCTTCACCGAAATTTCCCCACAAGTGGTCAAATTTTCCCGAAAATTGGGAGATTGGGCAGGTCTGGGATTTTTCCTTACAACTT